TTTTTTTTTTTTTTCAATTTTGTAGAAATACGTGCGAGTTATTAATTATATAATTTTATCATAAAAAAAAAAAAGAAAGAAACGGGACTCGGCTGAATAATTTTGCTAAAGATTGTAGAAAGAATTATTAGTGTATGAATATTCCAGCAGAGATTTACGAAGTTGCCGGGCACTTTTTCGCTCGTGAGGAATTCTCACTACGTGACAAATTTTCAACCGCAGAGTTGCACGTCCCATCATTAATGTCGTTCGTAGAGCTTCTCTTGGTATGGCAACCAGTTTCAAGAAACATACCGCCCCTTTGAATCTGGATCAATCGCGGTCCCGTTACGCCAAGTAAAAGTACTAATTTTCTCTGCTTATGGCGAAAAGGTATTAACATGTTGCATCTGCAACTTCATTGCAAAAAATTTCTGCTCGAGCGGCAGAGTCTCTTCAACGTGGCTGCACTATTTTCATTATTATAAAAATTATGTCTGGCAATGATTGGCAAATTTGAACAACGAAAATATCGTGTAACATTTTATTTTTTAATATGTATATCTGGATTTTTTTCATTTGTCCGATATTATCGAGCCGAGAACCTTGAAACTTTCATTCGTTGAAGAATTTATTCCGTAATTATATTCTTGAACTACAACGGCCAGGCTAGCTGGCCACATCGCCGCTAATTATCGTGAAATTAATTACCACTCCGAATGGCGGGATGAACGATGCCACGGGCCAATCACCTTTGATTTCTTATTTTAACCCTTGCGTTAATTCTCTGTCTTCGTATTAGACATGATTCAGATTTTTTTTTGCCGCCAGCATTATCCTAGAGCCTGATATCATCGTTATATACTGATCATAGAGATCAAAATCGTTGTAGTTTGTTGAATGAATGTCTTTTCTCTTACTTCTTCCCTGTTTCTAAATGTATAGTTCTTTTTATTCAAGAGTGTCGTGTATGAATGTAATGAATATGTTATCGTAAAACTACGCTGGAAATTTTGGAAATGTTAAACAATGTTTGTATATTTTTATATACAATGATGATGATGATAATAGATATGAATATAAATGATCATATTTCGCTTTATACATGATCAATACTAGATATCATTGCTATAATCGGTGTGCGTTATTACAGCCAGATTTTTCTCGTGATTGAATGAGACTTGTCGAGGTCAATGAGAATCAACTTGCCGTTAATGAGAATGTTGCTGGCTAATTAATCGATGAAAAAAGCTTGTTAATCAGATATTCCCAAGGTAAATTGTGCATTTCACAAATACAAAACCTTCTGATTAAGCCCTTGAAGTGCTTCTTTTATTATACCAATTTTTTATTATTATTATTTATTATGTTCCAGAAGTTTCTTCGCGGTCTGTACGCAACGCTTCTAGCAAACCACGACGAAGAGTGGGAATAAATCAGAATGGATCGTATATAATTCGATGGGATGAAACATAAAATATTGTACGACCATTATCTATAAAACGAAATAAATTTTCTAGGGACGAAACTTAGTACTTTAGCAAGCACGTGCAGTAGAAAAGAATAAGTTATTACCCCTCGATACGAACTATAGTTGTATAATGTAACAATATGCAAAATAGAAATATGCAAATACAAGATGTACGTTGTGCATACAGGTCTGCCTTGAAAATATCGATTTCCGTGTGTCGGCATTTCACTACTGGCTGACATGTGCGCTACAATAATGTACAGGTAGCACTCGACCTAGAGGGATCGAGGGAGGGAATTTATACGTGTATACACCTTCATGAAGGACCATGTGGGGTTGCTACCCATAGCCTAATCGACAACACATATGGTGCTTTCATGAATGCGCTCTCAGAACGTTAGCAGGTACGGATATCGGTAAGGTTCCAACGTACGCCGAGAGAAGCATATGGCAGTTGCAGGTTCACTGAATTCTTCGCGATACCAGCGGATTCCTGACACCATTTCTTCCTCGATACGGTGCATAGGTAAGTACCGGCAACTGATTTCTGGTTAATTCATGGGAAAATAACAAAAATATCACAGTGTAAAATGCAACGCTGTGACACAGACCCATCAAGCATAGATCAAACGATAACGTGAAATCTGATGAAAAGAAAAAAAGCGTTACGTTGCGAAGTACGCAAGATCAATTGAAATATTAGCATTTAATACAACTAATACAACGACGGAAATTGATACACAATTGTCACTTCAGCGTATAAATGCATCGTTATCGGCAATTATTATGCATATGAATCAATCCGCGATCACGCGATTAAATCTTAATCGAAAGTTAATCATACTGCCGCAATCACACTTCGAACATTTACGCGATCGAACATAACATTTTTAATTTCTCGACGTTCGTGTTATCACTTCAAACATAATACGGACAACAGAAAGAATACACGAAATAAATCGATCTCAAAGTAATTTAATTAATTATTGTTCCGTACG